GAAAAAAGAGAACTTTAACCTTTTTGGGATCAACACATAGTAATGAGATGAAGGTTTCTGAAAAACAAATAATGGCATCAAGCTTTGGGAGCTTAAAGAGAAGAAGAGAGCAGAACAAATTATGATGAAATTTATATACTCCAATCCTTGCAGGTAGACCAAACCGCAAAGAACTATACATGATCAGTCTGCACTGTTAGATCTTGTATCCCCAAATCATGGTACAATTCATGGACATAATGGAGAACTGAATGATCATTTTCTCCACCTTTGACCAATATAGAGAGTGAACCAACAGCACGACCAGGAACCAATTCCCAAAACCTGGACCGAGTAACTTCCGAAACTTCTTCAAGGGCAGCTACCTGTCTCAAGCATTTGTTGAAGGCAGAAGTAGGTACATTTGCAGGAACCTGTTGGAGCAAGACACCACCTGTAGCTCGAAAAAGTGGAAGGATGACCACAAATACTGCAGCTGAGACCAGTCCTAAGCACAAAACTTCTGCATTCTCAACACCTAAACTAAGTAACCATGACGCAAGAACCAAACCTGCACTCCTGATAGAATCAGCAAGAACATGCAGGCAGATAGAGTGGCAATTCATATCTTCAGCCTTCCTATAAGCAATATTAACACGTGCATAGTTCCGAAAGAACCAAACGCCAAGTAAATTCACCAAAAGATTGGTAACAGCCGAAACAATCAGATAATGCTTGTGCTCTGATTCATCCTGAATAAATGCGTGCAACGCTTCCACTGCCAAGGAGAAGGACATGAACAGAAGAAATAGCTGTAGCATTTGTAAAAGTAGCTAAAACTTCCAGCCTCTTGTACCCATAGATGTATATTCCATCAGGCTTTTTCTGAGCAGCAGTCATTGCAAACAAAGAAAAGGTTAGGAGGCCACAACCAAATGTCAAATGGAAGGAATCAGAAACAAGACCTACACGCCCAGTAAGCAGTCCAATCATCAACTCGAAAAAAAATTAATTCATATTCCTATACATACTAATTCATAGTTCTTAACGGTTCTTTACTCATTAATTCATATTCTTAATCCGATCCAGAAGTGATTTTAATTTCATAACCTGACCGTTAATTTTTACATATATCCTAAATTAACACGTTCTACAGCCTTCTACAGCCGTGCCTTACCTCATTCCGACGTTTCGCTTCTAAACCTAGACGTTTCCATTCGAAAGCTTCTAAACCTAGACGTTTCGCATCCGCTCGACTTCATCCACGCTGAAAAGTTCCGACAGCTAGCGCAGCCAGGCGTTTCGCTTCCGACCGAGTTCATCCCCGTCATCCAGGCGTTTCGTCTCCGACTCTGCACCATGCCCTTTCACTTCCGACTTACTCAACAACGCATATGCATTTACACCCGAGCGTTAATTCTCCATCCATTGATCTTCCCACACAATAAAAAGGTACCTTGCGCAACGGATCACCTTTTAAAGTCGATCTCATCACTTATTCTCATTTCTTTGGCTATCTACCTCTTTCATGCAGTATTGCTTCTCG